AAACACACATCAGTCTGATGGGCTCACCTGATTCCCTAAGTATCATGACAAATATCATTTATGGCGCTTATTTAAGGCTGCTTTAGCCTGCGCTATCTTTGCTGCTTCCTCTACAAAGCTGTTTTACAACCCACCTTCCACCCAAGCTCCTCTTATGTCTGATCTAATTAACAATTCATTTTCTTATTGCCTTGATGCTTTGCTGTTTCTGTACCCTGGGGGGTCTCTGCTGCGCTCTCTTGTCTTAAACTTACATGTATGCACTTGGAAAGGGCAGGGAGGTGTGCTCTTCCCTGCCTTAAGGTTTTCCACATAGGCACGTGGAAGGGCAGGAGGTCCAGACAGAGCCATACGCCAAATGTTAATATTCTGCTTTAGAAATAAAAGTTCTTTGACAAAAGTGGTCCTGACTGAACATGCAACAATAACCAACACAGGGATAGGTTTTGTTTTGTTTTAATTTATATGGATTCTAATGTATTTTTTTCTGTTTCTTCCTTTTTCCTTCATCATTTCTTAATTGCTTTGGCAATATTGTCTTTTCTTTTTTAATGCCTACTGCCTACCTCAGGGGGCTTGATGACACATCTTCAGGATGTGTTTATTTTCGGACGCAGGCTTTGTATTGAGCCAAAAAATACGGCAAGCGAAGATCAGACTCAAGTTAACAAAAATAAGCTTCTGAAAATTTTTTAGTTTGTGTTGTCACAGCCAAGGAAGAGCACAGCAAACTCATATTTGAGGAGAAGAAGAGCTCCTAAAGAAGGAAGTTTCCTGTCACAAGGTCTCGCTTTTTTTTTTTCCTGGGAGAGGACCTCTGTTACAGAAGAAATGTTGCTTGCTTGTTTTTTAACGAGATCGTGTTCAAATCGTGTTCAGTATGTAACTGTTAATCTTACCCTGTATTAGATGTTACACATGTTTATGATTAAAGCATTCTGCGCAAGTCAGTTTACTTATTTAACTTTAACTTTGCCTTCTGGGAGGAGGGGTCCGATCCGGTTTAAGAATCAAATAAAACCAACTTGCTGACGTGGCTTCTCTGATTCAGTTCTTTTAGCCTATTGTGTGGCTTGACATTAACAAAAGGCTAATATGTGCAAAATGTCTAAGAATGTGTAAGAACTATACATCTTCTTCAAAGGGTCATTCAATGTTCAAAGTACTGAAAATATTTCCATTATTAACAAAAAAATATCATACAAATACATTTCTTATATCGCATCATTTTATTATCATTCTTTGTTATTCGCAAAAACAACAAATGACCTTTGACAATTTGCATCAAAACAAAATACATTTTTAAAAACAGATTGGGTTTATATTTAATTGTAATGAAGGGTTGTTTGAATTGATATGAACTAGTAGAAAAAAAATACGGCTGGCAGTTGAGTTTTACAAGCAGTGGTTTCAACCTGGAGGGTCATTGAGTGTCCCAGAACATTTTAAAATTTAATTTCTCTTATTTCATTGACTAGAAGTTTATCCCAGTGAGAGAATGTACAGGATGATTATTCTGTTCATAGGTTTCACATTTTTTTTTTTGTATTGTATTATTTATTAATCCTTGTCACAAGCAGCTTATGCGAAATAAATAAAATAGAGATATACAAAAAACTATAGTAAAGTGGTAAAGCTAGGTTATGGTAGGTAATTTGAAAAACAGAAACTACAGGCATTTATCAGGTGTTGTAGAGTCTGACAGCTGCAGATGAAAGACCTGCGGAAATCTCCTTCTTACACCGTGGGTGTAACAGTCTGCTGCTGAAGGAGCTACTCAGGACCCACAGTTCATGTAGGGGTGAGAGTTTTGTCATGATGGATGTAGCTTCACTAACATCCCTCCTTATTACCCACTTTCCCTCAATGGAGTCCAGAGACATCAGGACAGAGTCGCTCTCCTGATCAGTTATTTTTAGTCTTTCTGGTCCCTCTCGAGCAGACCACATCATAGAAGATTGCTCAAGCCCTTCTTATAGAGAGCATGGGTGTGTCAGTCCAGTCCAGTCTTTCTTGTTTCCTATTTTACTTGGTCTCTAATGCTCCTAAACCAAGAATACACTGACCTTGAACAAAATGAGCAATGAGACCAAGAAAAATTGTTTATTATTAAGGTCATTCCCCAGGTCGCCATATTATACTGACCTTTGGGTTTGTTGACTTGCAGATAGTTGATTTGATGAGGAATGAGACTCACAAGAGAACCAGGATTTTTTTCATAGGTTCTCTGTCTTATTTACCTATGTCAGGACTATAGTCATTCAGCACTGAAAAGTTTGTGGGTTCACCCAAAATTTCCACCCACCACCGGATTCAAAAAATAAAAATAAAGTCTAAAGTAGCTGTTGCAGAGCAGAGCGGGTCGTCCCTAATCAGAAAGGTTGTTGGTTCGATCCCCGGGTATTCCTGCCACGCGTCGAAGTATTTGAAATGTCATTCCTTTGTCTTCTCTGAACTGCAGATTGGCCTTACCATCTCAATTAATGTAAGTTAAATATCAAGAGAACACATTCCTGGGAACTATGGGGATGAGTCTGTGCACATTGGGTTGCTGTACATTTGACCACTTTTCATAAAAGATGTGGACTAGCTACTATTGTTTTATCATTGATATACCCTGTGGCGGCCCTAGTGAGAGAATGATAGTGGTATTTGTTTGAGTTTAATTGTGTGAAATGTGTGAATACAATCTGTGGAGTTAATTTATAGTCCTTAAACCTGTTCTCACATATAAGAGTTACACCTCAATTTGGGCATTTGTGTCAACACGTAACTAATTGCAGAAGAGTTGTAGAAGTCTAGAAAAAGAAAAAAGAAAAATGTTTTAGGCAAAGAGGAGAAAAAAGTATTAGATCTCCCTTTTCACACACACATCTAGAACACCCAGGGTCCCATTCTCCCAACCATCAGCAGTCTTTGACATCTTGGTTGAGCCTGTCCCCGTAGCAATCTTCCTTAATCCCCTTATATGCTTAAATTGTAAGTGTTTAATCAGTGTTATGACCCCTGACTTTGGCTAGACTCCATACTACAGCCCACCCAATCCATACATTGGTTTTTAGCCTTGTCTGAGGATAAATATGTCTCCTGAAGAAACACAACAATGTGCTGTTCTGATTTCAAAAAATAAACTTTCTTCCTCTGTGGCTCATATGACAGAATGGGTAATAGTAATCGGAGAGTTGCTGGTTTGATTCCTGGCTCNNTCCTTGAGCAAGATACTGAGCCCCTAATAGAACAAGGATTAATTCAGTTAAGGTTCCATAGCACACATGATTCCAATGACAGACTAGTTAAATATATCTGTTAACCCACCTTCTGACAACTACAGCCAATCAAAATGCGGCATCATGCGGGTCAAGGGATAAAAATGCTGTGCAGTCCCACATACAGTGTAACATCTGGTCACCCTAATACTCATATACTCTAGGTACAATCAATGGATCACTGTATAACAAACGGTTAGCCTTTTTGCAGTGGCTTTTGTAAGTGCCCCCTACAGGGTCACCACTGAGGCAAAGTAAAAATTTAATTGAACATGATTTGCAAATATCGGCTAGAGCTTTGGTGAACTGATAAAATCAACTAACCTCTGGCAGAATGAAAGAGTGGACACTGTTGAAGAGAGTCGGTACGAGTGAGTACAGTGATTGATTTTAATGGCTTCATAAACAACTATATAAAACAGTTCATAAAAATTCATGCACTTTCAGTGTAAATTCATTTTGAAATATAGAGGAAATTTATGTACAACAATGTGAACCTAACAGTGACTTCATTCAGTTGGGTGGTTCACCACAAATATACTTGGCTGCATAGAAACATTGACATTATTGCCTACGTAGAAAATAAAATCAAAGGTAAAGAAACAAAAATATGTAAAAAGTCTAGTTTATTTAAGATCTAACAGGTGCTTCTATTGAAAGACAACTGTCCTTTTCAGACTTTGATTTTAAAAGTCAGTTCCTTCAAACTCACTGAATTCGACACACTGAGGCAAAAGAACTAAGCACTAGTGAATAAAACTGAGTATCATTACAGAACTTTCCCTTTACCAAAAATTACATTCTGAAAGCATTATCATGAAAGAATTATTATACAGAAACTCACTCGAACGACAAAAAAGCCTGAGTTGATGGGGAAAAGTAGAGTCATAATAAATCCCAAAAGCCTGAGGAAAAAGACCACTGATTTACTATTTTACAAAAATTTACAACAGGATTACTGAAGGGAAAAAACATGATACAAGTCGCTCCAAAAAATCCAGGTTATTTTTATTTTTACAGCTATGATATGTTATTAAATAATTCACACCTGGTGGAAAAAGAAAACCTGCTGAGGAAATGAGAAATGCTGTAAATGAGGTACTTAAGGTGGTGAGCCTGAGCCCAGACCGGATTCAACCAGACACCTTTAAATCAACTTGTAATGTGATTTATGTGACAACTAACTTCTCATCGAGTTAACACTTAAATAAGGTAGATAATCACATTAAGCATGATAGAGACAGAGACAGACAGACGAACATAGAGAAACAGTCAAATACAGGATCCAGTGTCGTGGGTTGGTGGGAATATGAGGCAGCACTCAGGGTCAATTGTGTCCATTTCCAGAGTTAAAAAAAGTTTATAAAAATAACAAAAAAGTGTGCTGCGCGCTGTTGAGCCTACACAACAATGCAGCTTTAAACTCTTAAATACAAAAATATGCTTTGATTTTTTATCTGCTGCCTGGTTTGAGCTGCTCCCTTGCGTTTATCTCCCAGGTTCCCGAGATGAGCTGCAGCTGAAGCTGAAGCGAGGAGATGACAGCCATGCTGAACTGACTGATACACAGTGCTTCAAACAGCTTCAGGTTGGAGTCCACAGTCCCTGTAAGGCATTTGCTGTGTTGCTGAGTCTATGGCTGCTACTAGCAGACCGAGGCAGCTCCTGTTATGTCTTGCGGCTACTCCAGATCTGCTCTGGCGTGCTCTTGTGGTCCGACGAGTAGTCGAAGGGTGAGCGGTGTCCCATGGGCGAACGGGACTCATAGGGCGAGCGCTGGTCTCGGGGAGAGCGGGGCCCGCTGGCTGAGGCTCGCTGCTCTGTCTGCCAGTCTGAATGGTAGCGGTAGGAAGAGCGGTGGTCTGAATGGGAATGATCTTTCATGTCCGGCCGATGGTCTCTGCTGGAGCGGAACTCCTCCAGCTTCCTGTGCTTACTGTCATTGTAGTATCTGTGCACACATATCAATATTACTGATTAACAAGGCAAACATGACAAACAAATCACTTTCAGTGCTAGAGTACAGATATTCTGTACCAACATTAAAGCAACAGTAGGTAACTTATAAAAAAAAAAAAACCTTTTTGCTGAACATTGTATTACATTAAGACAGGGGTTTATCTGCTTTATGTACTTACTGTCAGTTGCGTATTCTAATACGTGAAAGTTTTATAAATTTATTTATGTGTACTCTTGCAGCTTTAATGGTTCGTTAGTTCCTTCAGAAATGTACTTGTCCCTTGGAGAGTACTGTGGTGGAACGGTGTGTAAATTGAGAAAGTAGTTCTGTTGGGTTAATGTTGTGCCTGAAACTTCAGGACCAGTTGGTTCGGAAAAGACTTAGAGATCCTGTATTTGTGAGGTGTTTTTAAAGATTTACGTCTTCAGTAGGAGCCAATAGGCTTACAGCTGACAGCCAGACAGAGGAGGGAAGTCAGAAAATATTAAGAGATGGACCAACACAACCTCTGGTATTTTCATGAATTTTGGACATTAGGAAGAATTTAAAATAATAACAGCTTTATCCTCAACAGGTCTCAACAGGTTTGAATTTGGTAGGCGGTTCAATGAAGGAACACAGACATGCCAGAATTCGTGGCGAGAAACCGCCATGAATGTTGGAAAAAGAGCGGAGCCAGTATGCCGGAAAAAATTTGAAAGATCCTCCGCAACCGATTTGGAAAATCAAAAAACGAGCGCCACTTGTTTACCTTTTTTTTCTTCTAGTGCGTAGAAATAGCAAAGTCGGTAGACTTTCCTCAGTTGCGCCACCTCTGTTTTCAGGAGGAAGACTGCAACTAGTGTCACGACCACCACACGCAAGTATAAATAGTTACGGTGCTCCTGTGACGTCACATTGTCGCGCTACAGGTCGGGAACGGCGAGTGTACAAGACGCTTTAGGCATTCTACCCTTACCTGTCCTGTCTGTCTCTTTCCCTGCTGTCTGGTCTGTAGTGGTCTCTGTCCCGGTGGTCTTTGCCATTGCTGAAGGAGGAGTATGGTCTTTTCCTGGACTCTCCTCCCGTGGTCTTCCTGTGGGACTCTGAGCTGTGTCTCTCCTTACTGCTCTCATGGTATCGACCTGAAGGTTGATGCCTGTCTGAGCTGCAACTGTCCCTGCTGCTCTCGTCCTGGTGAGAATTGTCTTTCAGCCTTTCAATATCTGAGGATGGAGACAACAAAGGAATCAGTGCACAGTGACAACTTGTTTGGCTAATGTACACAACAGGGAAACTGACTGTACCTGCATGTTTGTAACCATGGGTGTTTATATTTCTAGTGTTCTGCTCCATTGCCTGAAAAAACAGAATCAGAGTCATCATGGATTTCCCATGGCAGTACAGGATGTCACATTGTAATTCAGATGAATAATTACTGCACATACCTGGGCGTTCTCTTGTCTTTTCTTGATTGCATGCTTATACAGTTTATGTAGTTTCCTGGCGTCAAACTCAGTGAATTTGGACACAAATATCCACAGGTTTCTGTAAACAACAAACACCACTGGCTTAAATCAGTAACATATAAACAAAGCTGCATTCAAACTTTGTGTGGAATTGTACATCTAGTTAGAAGAGACGGTGTATACGAACTTTCTCCACTGTTTAATCAAGTCAGGATTTGAATACTCCTTCAGACACTCAGTGATGTGGTCTCCGATCTTTATGAGGCACTGTCTCGTGTGCTCGAGCTGCTCTCGCTCCGACAGCCCTTTCTCTGGTCGGTCTAGCTGCTTTAGGGCGGCTTTAACTGGCCTCATCCTTTCTTTGCACTGCAACATTCAAACAAAGGTAAACTCAAATCAACAGCTTTATTAAATTATTTTGGTACAACATGCTCGACCCTGCTGGATCATAATTTCATAACAAACTGAAAATATTTTTAGAGAGACGGAGACAGCAATGTAATTTTTATAGTGCACTGACTTCACCCTCCGCAAATGAATAGGCACGCTAGAAAAACATTTGTCTTTAAAAAGCTGTGCAGGATTGGCACAATGATTTAGAATTCAGATGTCACTGTTATGAATGAAACTTTGAACTATTTTGTACAGCTATCATTTTAATGATGCTGCTATTTCATGTGCTATTTCAGTGACAATTTTAACCAGAAGATCATAGTAAACTATACTACACACAATACATACATATAACATGTTTTCTCCACATATATATATATTCTCTCTGAAGGTTTTAATTATCAGTGGAACATACCACACTGAAGGTCCTCTGGTCCAGTTCCTCAGACTCTTCAGATACTGGCACATTCTCTCCACTTGCCGTTATATGGACCGGCACATCAGAGGCTTTTTTTGTTCGTTCTCGTACCTCAGTCTTGACTTCATTCTGAGGAGAAGTATTTTTTCTTTACTTATTCTGACAACGTTCAGTATAATTAGCAACTCATTTATTAAATCAAAACTATGGTCCACAGTAGTAAAAGAACATATCACATATATTATTATTTTACCTTTTCCATGCTCTCCTCTTGTTTATGTACTGCCTCCAAAGGCTTTGTGTCTTTTTTCTCCTTTGGCTCCTTTGGCTCTTTAACGTCCCAACTTTCCTCCTTCTTCTCCTTTTTGCCTTCTTTTTTGATCTCTTTTCCTTTGACCTCCCTCTCCCCTGATGAAGACACCTCCTCCTGCTCTGGCTCATCATCATCGTCGTCGTTGTCGTCGTCGTCGTCGTCGTCGTCCTCCTCCTCCTTTGCGGCGACCACCCTGTCCGCTCGGCCCCGTCTGCTCAGTGCCTTAACTGGTGCTACCGGCTGAAAGGGTCAAAGCACGTTACACATCAGCTCCAAACTGACAACAGAAAACTTTCATTTAATGCAGCAGTAAGCAAAACAGTACAAGCTGTTCTTAAATGTACCTTTTCCTCCTCAATTTCATCGTCGTCATCTGACCTCTTGTCCGACGAGGGATCTGAGGAAGCACTCTTTATCACCTCATCCGTCTTTGTTGGCTTTAAAGTTTTGCTCTTTTTACTTCTTGGTTTCCTCTTCCGTGAATTGGCCTACATACAGAGAGGCATGGTAGATTCTGGTAGACTAACATTTGAATCTATCCATATCAAATGTGGAAATAATAAGCATTCTTGTTAGTGATACAAAGGAAGCCTGACATGTAGACAGATTGTGAGACTTACTGTCCCCGCTTGTTTCTGTGCTTCTTTTTTGGCAAGGTCTTTGCTCAGCAACTTGATGAGGTAGTCTGCTCTGGTCTGTAACTGTTTGGCCTGTGGCTTCTTGTCAGGGTCATCTGGTAGGAGCTGGTCAACAATGGACACAGTAAACATTATTACGTAATTTTCATGAAAGACGATAACAGTGCTGCGAGTCATTATGGAGAAATAATTCACAGTAATAAAGACTGTTGTTCTCCTACTGTGTTAATGAGAAATGTATCCATGCTTTAAGGGCATAGAAAATTTGAAGAAAAAAACAAAACAAAAAAAACTATCAGGTTAAGAAATTATTAGTGGTGGTCCAAGCACTGAAATCCAGTATTTGAGTTGACTGCAGAATAGCACTGAAGTTACGATTAAAATCACTTCTCCTAAATAGCTGCACATAAATGCATCACGTTTGTACTTGCTTCTGTACTGTGATTGGAAAACAATATAAAAAAAATAAAAACTTTAGGTAAGGTGATTTGCCTAGCCAAGAAAAGGATCCTAAAGAGATTAAATGATAAATAAACACTTATACAGCACCTTTCTAAACTTCTGACCCCTCAAAGTGCTTTACACTGCAAGTTGCATTCACACACATTCATTTACTGACGGCTGAGGCTGCCATGCAAGGTGCCAACTGGTCATCAGAAATGAACTAAGCCATTCACACACACTCACAGACCGTTGGCACAGCATTTGGGGTTCAGTGTCAGAGTGAATGGCCCACTCTACTTCCTGAGCAATCCATTGACTCACCTTGTGTGTCAGATTGAGGTCCGGGTCCATCTTGATCATCTCCCAGCTGCCATAACCGTACTCATAGATTCCTATGAGGAGGCTGGAATCGTCTTCCTTCCCCCACTCAATGTCAAAGTGTGCTGCCTTTGAGTGGCACGGAATCATATACCTATGCAAAAACACGCAATTAAAAACCAGCCATACAGACAGATTTGGTCTTGTCATATTCAGCGACAGGGTCCCTTGATATATATATATAAAAAAATATGTTATTGGACACAGACTTAAAATAATTTGTGATGCCAAATGCAGTCTAACAAATGTGTAAATGTATGTATCTTACTTCTTTCTCTCCTCAGGGTCAGCGGGTATGGCCTTGTGGAGCGGAGCCAGCTCTTCCTCATGTGAGATAACAAGCTTGGCATTCACCTGGACTCCAGAGATCCTAAATGTAGGGCCTTTCACCTTCCCTCTTCTGCCTCCTATGGATCAAACAAGTGGAAAAAGTTTAATGCTTCATTATCCATTTAATCCTGCAACAGACAGCAGTTGTAAGAAATTAATTCACATTTTAAAGAGCACAATGTCGTACTGTTACAGTCAACAAAATACAATGCATATTGTCACCTCGGCCTATACATTTACCAGTATGTGTACGAAGATCAGTTGATTTGCTGAGGATAAAATGGATTAAAAAACACACAAGCATATAAAACTGTACTGACTAAGCATTCTTTTCCCCCCAAGCATTATTTAATAACTATTAAATATTAAATACGAAGCCACTTTAAGAAAAATTATAAAAGGCATTTTCTACAATTATTTTACATTTAATGGATGGATGAAAAATACTGCAAATAAAATCTAATACTTGCAATTAGGGATGTAACGGTATGAAAACTTTACCTCACGGTTATAGTGACCAAAATTATCACGGTTTTCGGTATTATCGCGGTATTTTTTGAAAGTGTGTTCAATATGTTCAGAAAGCACTGATAGGCCTACACAAGCT